ACGCATTCCTTTGCCAGGTACTTTAGAGTAGTGATTAAAACGGATGCCATGGTATGTAGGTAGCATAGAGCTTATTGTGGACGTTACTTGACAGATGTCCTTTGCCAGGTACTTTAGAGTAGTGAATAAAACGGATGTCATAGTATGTAGGTAGCATAGAGCTTATTGTGGACGTTACTTGACAGATGTCCTTTGCCAGGTACTTTAGAGTGGTGAATAAAACGGATGTCATGGTATGTAGGTAGCATAGAGCTTATTGTGGACGTTACTTGACAGATGTCCTTTGCCAGGTACTTTAGAGTGGTGAATAAAACGGATGTCATGGTATGTATGTAGCATAGAGCTTATTGTGGACGTTACTTGACAGATGTCCTTTGCCAGGTACTTTAGAGTAGTGATTAAAACGGATGTCATAGTATGTATGTAGCATAGAGCTTATTGTGAACGTCAGTTGACAGATGTCAGCTCACGGCAGAGAGCTCATTATGGACGCCAGGCGATAGCATGGTAATTTGGTATGCGTTGTGTTATGTCCCGAGGTTACCGTGCGTGTCATATCATGTTTGGTGCTCATCCTCAGTGCTTTATGTGTCATCGCAGGGTGACTGAGCACTGGAACTCTATATAACTGGATCAAGCTGTCATAGTATGGCCTTTACAACATTCACTCCTTTACAGGGCAATATTTGGAGCCATTAAGGTGATACAGGAGAGAATCCCAATGTGCTGACCGTAAACGGGACAACCCGATTATACTGGCCATAAAGGAGGGCCCCGGCCTATATTATTATGGGCACAAATGAGAGATCCATGCTATACTGGCCATAAAGGAAGGGCCCTGCCTATATTATTATGGGCACAATTGAGAGATCCATGCTAAACTGGCCATAAAGGAAGGGCCCTGTCTATTTTATTATAGGCACAAAGGAGAGATCCATGCTATACTGGCCATAAAGGAAGGGCCATGCCTATATTATTATGGGCACAAATGAGAGATCCATGCTATACTGGCCATAAAGGAAGGGCCCTGCCTATATTATTATGGGCACAAATGAGAGAGCAATGCTATACTGGCCATAAAGGAAGGGCCCAGGACATATTATTATAGGCACAAATGAGAGATCAATGCTATACTGGCCATAAATAACGGGGCCTGTCTATATTATTATGGGCACAAATGAGAGATCCATACTATACTGGCCATAAAAGAAGGGCCCTGCCTATAATATTATGGCACAAATGAGAGGTCCATGCTATACTGGCCGTACAGGAAAGGCCTTGCCTGTATTATTATGGGCACAAATGAGACATCCATACTATACTGGTCACAAATGAGTGATCCATGCTATACTGGTCACAAATGAGAGATCCTTGCTATACTGGCCATAAAAGAAGGGCCCTGCCCTTAATCTAAATGAGAATGTCCTTCATCATCGGGCATAAATGAGAGATCCTTGTACTGTTCACAGATAAGTGTGCCTTGCTTTATTGGTCACATATAAGTGAGCCTTGCTTTGTTGGTCACAAATACGTGAGCCTTGCTGTATTGGTCACAAATAAGTGAGCCTTGCTTTTTTGGTCACAAATACGTGAGCCTTGCTTTTTTGGTCAATGGGTTCGGGTGTTTATACAAGAACCCTAATCCCAGAGGAAGGCGACAAACACAAGAGGTTCATGTTCATGTTATTCATACATATGTACAAATCATTTTATAAAATCATTTGATTTCACTTCCACTTCCACGTACGTGCACTGTCCTTCTTAATCATTCAAATATGTGCAAAATAACAGTTTATCATCGTATCATTTTATAAAATATTTCACTTCCACTGTCCTTCTCAGTCATTACAATTTGTACAAAGTGTCATCTAACATGCCAAGAACATATGATGCAGTGTCTGCATACCCACACACAGTCATCTGGTTGAAATCCAACTCCCACTAGAGATCCTCAAACTTCCTTTGCAGATCTCTGTACTTCTTTTTCTTTGGTGGGAGGCGCTGAACGGCGGCATATTGCACCATGTTGATTTCCGTGGATTTCTGCTCTCTTAATAGGAATAGAAGGAATTCGCAAAAGTGTGGAAGGGCCTCCTTGCCAACCAACGTCTTCAAGCGTCTTCAAGGTTGTTGTTTTTTCTCGGACCCGTTGTGGTGTAGTGTTTCCAGGTTATCACCGGGAGATTGCCTTTTATCCAGGTTGTAAAAGTCGCCTTCTTGCGAATGAACCGTCAGAAATGTGTGAACTGTGAGTGAGCCTTGCCATACTGGTCAACGAGGAGAGAGACCGGCTATCTGGTCATAAATGAGAGAACCTTACTGGATACTGGATATACATGGGATGACTCCGCCTTTATTGGTCTTAAATGGGAATGTCCGACTACACTAAGCTTAAATGAGAGAACCTTGCTACACTGGTGATACATGAGAGAACACGGTCTTACTGGCCCTAAAGGAGACAGTCCGACGATAGTGGATCCCCTTTCACAATGAGATCTTAGCGCTAAGGTGATCGTAACTCCCATACTTTAGCATTAGCCTACAACTGTAGTAGCACGGGAACCTGATCCTACACGAGAGCGTACCAAAATAATAATTCTATCAGTCAGGGCTTCTGTTTTCTAATATTGAAAACATGGGAGAAATATATGTCCAGGTTATTGAATGGTATAGTTTGAATATCGAAATCATCAATGGTTCGTTTCATTTATTATTAGTGGATGTTTGCTCGACGTATACGTACCATTAGTCGAAGGCGTGCCTTCAATCAGGAGTGTCGAGCTATCGACAAGGAATGTTGCCCGCTACTTCACTATGCTATGATGACTACACATACAAGATAACAGATCTGGTATAATATTATTCAGTTATGACCGTGAATGTCTTTGGTCCTTCGTCAAGTAAGCCAAAAAACATCAATATGAAATAGACGACAAAGGCACACGGTGACAACCTGCTATGTAAGGCAATTCGTTCCAGGGCGTTGACACTATATCCATTGAGCAAAGTCGTTAAACCCCTGACACACATTTGCAAACCTTTACGCAAGCACACCGAGTCTCCTATGCATCATACAGTCATGCATTCGGTTTCTCCATGCAAGCGTGCCACCAAGCAATGGTTGCTATGAAGTGACACTGTAAAGCCCTACCTAGCGATAGCTTTGTTTATTGTTAACGCCGCACTCAGCAATATTCCAGCTACATGGCTGCGGTCTGTAAATAATCGAGTCTGGACCAGACAACCCAATGATCAACAGCATGTGCATCGATCTACGCAATTGGGATACGATGACACATGTCAACCAAGTCAGCGGGCCTGACCACCCGATCCCGTTAGTCACCAAGCATAGGTTGCTGAAGTCCAATTCTAACCCGGAACTGCAAGGTTAATCGGGTCATCTCTAATCCATTAACAGTTGCAGACAGCACTTAACTATTGCAGGTTGATGTCGCCTTTGGCAACAACATCAATCCTGGGGACACCAGAAAATAATTTTCTCATAGCGTATCGAGCGTGGCGTGCTCACTTTACGTTCTGAACATTGGGTTAATGTCCTGATAAAAACGTTCCCCTTGAAGATCAGGGATAGTCTTCAGCAACCCATGTTTGTCGTAAGTGTCAACAAAGGCGATTGGGTGATAAGGCTCGCTCACAAATAGTGAGTGAGTTAATGTTTAATGTCACATCGGCAATTTTTAGCCATATCGTGACTATGTTAACAACAACAAATTAGACGTTTATAAACAATATGTACAGATTATAAAACCTGTCGTCACAGTTAGAATTAAAACTAGCATGTCAAGTTAAAACTAATAGCATTATTTGGACAATACATAATATAAACAGGCTATCGGTAGCCAACAACTTGTATCCAAACAGAATCATATAAAGTATTGCTCGTGGTATCAACCACTGGATTGTCTGGTCCAGAATGGATTTTTTACAGCATGACGCAATAGAGCTGGAATGTGGAGTGTGACGCTCAACAACATATAAACCGTATATGAACTGATTGAGACAACACAAACAATGAATCGGTGATAAAAATATGCCCATCCAGGAAACATAAACGCTGTTTTACTAAATATTCAAAACACAAGTCGCACACAAAGATTGATTCATACTGATCATCTTAATTACATGACTTTTAAAGAATGGTTTATAAAATGAAAGAAATGAGAAATATACCGTCTTGTTACTTGGGCATCTCGTGTTAAATACTCAACATTTATGGATTTGAATATGTTCGACATGAATGGTGATGGTAATTGCCTCCTTACATCTATTTAGGGCAACTTTTGACGGATGGCTACAGACTGAGTGTACAAGCATGAGTGAATGAATTAAGATTTCTAGTCACACCGGCAGTATTTCAGCCATGTAGTAACTAAAACACATTATACAGTCTTGACACATTAAACGAGCATATAAAAACCTGAGGACGTACTACTTTAAAAACAACGATAAAATCACAGATACAGATGTAAACCCAGCATGTAAATCTAAAACCATAGACAATACAACGTCGAAAACAAGATACTGACAGGGACGTACCTACCATTATAAAAAAAACCCGGGTTTACACATGATTTTTGCTAAAAAGGTTGGGCAAGCCCTCAATACTATCTAAACATAAAGCTTTGCAACCTATCGGGCTTCCACGAAAAAACTGGCTTTTTACGCGCCTGACTGATCATCAACAGATGATCATGAAGGTAGATCACCATACTAAGGATCATGGGGTCTAACGGTACGTTGGCTTCCTGCATGAACCCTAATTGGATTTACGCCATTACGACGACAGTGCTAGTTATATATTTACGAAACATATTTTCAAACAATTCAAGTTCATTTTTAATAAAACCCAAACCCACTCAACTATGTAATGATAAATGACCTGGTTAAAAAGATCACTTATTGATTTTACACTGTACAGTCACGACAATTGAGGTGTTTGGTAAATGTTTGTATACTAAATATGGAACATTGTGTTACAGCTTTCAGGAAAAGAGGGTACGTAAGTAGCTTTAATCGTAGAATATGTGTCATTTTAATGTATTGCTAGATTTGTCTGAATTGCTAGCAATTGAAGGGGTGGTGTAAATCCGGCTAGGTTCCATCTACAAATGACGAAATGTATCAATTTGAAAGTTGAAATGGACGATAATTCCCAACAACATTGAAAAACACCTTTTGCATGTGCAGCTCCAAAATTTGGGTCTTTCCTGCCCTCTGATGACATACAGCTAAGAAAAAACACACGACCCCGGGAGTTGTCTGCCCTTCACCAGTGCGGTCGTGTTCACGCTGACTCCCGAAGAACTGGAAAATCAAATCCAACAATACCGGACATTATCCAGCCTCATGTAAGAATGTCGAGTTTTGATTGGTTCACGTGACTCTGATAAAATACCATGTACACCCGTCACGATCCGCGAGCAGGGAGTACAAAAGCCATATTATCCCGCCACGCCTCGGTGACCACGCGAAGTGAGAAAAGCGTGCATCGCCAAGCCTTTAGTAACGTGCGCTGCATTGAGGTCAATCGATCAGCTGTTGTCAACATGACATCTCACATAAATAAAAACAAGTCGATTCGATGCGTATTGTTTTCTTTTGATTTAGTAAAAACATTCGGCTAGATAAATGCGTTATCACATCGTGTCGAGGGCAATACGGGGTTTTTTACAGTCCCGAGTAAGGTTGTTTTCCCCGAGCCGGAGCGGGGAATACAACCTTACTCGGGACTGATAAAACCCCGTATTGCCCTCGACACGATGTGATAACTTATAATAACAACGCCATCTAAGGGTAAATAAATGAAAATATTGCGGAATAACACCTGAAATATATTCCAAGAACGTATGAGCTGTGAATTTCCCATATTTTGATGTTTATGAAGCTATAATGGACTTAGTGGTGAAATTTTGCCCTCTGGAGAAGTGTCCCGAAAATACCCCAGTCATACACAGCGCCAGATAATTTTGTTAAAGCTGTAATGGTTCAGTCCCCTGTGATTGTGCCTAATAACGAGAAAAGTGGACACAATTGTGGACCCTCGTTGGCATAAAAGGCGAGAACCTGTAACTCTACAGATGACAGCACGTGTGTACCCACCGAACATAAGATAAGCGGGACGAGTGACAAAGACATTACTTATGTTGGTATTAGGCAAGCCATTGATAACACGAAAATGAGGTTCCGTGCACAACTTTCAGAAAATGAGGACAGGGTTATGAACCGTATATATTCCATGAGAGCAGTCCTATGTGAAGAGACGTGACTTTGATGGGCAGTTTGATAAAATAAATGACAAATTTTCTAGAAAATTCGCAGAAGTTTCAGAGAGGAAGCTAGGAAAGATGTCCAGTCGACGGGAGAGAAGATTTGTTATTTAGACACTAAATACACCGATGTTGTAAAATATTTGCATAAAGGCAATGATGTGAAATGCAGTGTGGCAATCAGAAACCTGTCAACTGATCAACGGGAAATAGACAACCACAACGTGACCTGTCAGTTAGTGAACCGTCTGATACGTGATGGTCTAAAGCTTAAAGATGTCCGTGCACTTCGTGCTAAACGCAAACGCAGGGCCGACAACAAACCAGGTGTGATTATCTCTAAACTTGACAGTGGGACAGAAAAACAAACTTCTGAAGGCGAAGGAGAGTCTGAAGAGTAGTACAGAGTTTCCTCGTGTGTATGTTGACCGTGCTATGTCGAAGGAAGATCGCATCGAGCGGTCGAACCTCCAGGCGGTCATCAAGGAGATCGGCGTGGATAAGAAGCTGAAATTTCAAGGCAGAAGACTGGTGAATGTTCGTGATTAGGACAGATTGCGGCTCGGGCTATGGAACAGTTGCTGGTGGCCCGTAAATGACTCCGCAAATAAACAGTTTAGGGAATCTGCGCTGGAGAGAAGCAGTCTCCGGGGTTTGTTAAACTTTCTTGAAAGATAAGAATAAGCTATCCGTGAAAGGATACTCAACGTGATCCAAGGGCGAGACGGGGCTCAGGAGGAGTCGGAGCCTTGTCTTAAAGAATCTTTTGTACAATTTTGTAATGTGGACATTTTAGACGATGACACGGACGATATTATTTGGATTAGATTATCGCATAAGTTACTGCAAGATTTCGTTTTAATTTTGTGTGTTTGTTTCTTACCACCCGCTGGTTCATCTAGGGTAGAGGACGCCGAGTACTTCTTCGAACTATTGCTTGAAAATATGGTTGAAATATTGCCGATGTGACTTTAAATCTTAACTCACTCACTCAGTCACTGTAAATACCGGCGGCAAACCTAACATACGTGTACACGCGCGCTCTGGCGCGACCTTCCCTCGTCCAACAAGACTGCGACAGTCCATCAGTGAAAGTGACTGAAGTGGACATAGATGTAACGAGCAGAAATATACTTCAAATATACTGGATTATGAGTTAATTTCACGCAGCCCATTCATCTTTCGATCGTTGAAAAAGGTTAAACGTTCAAACGACAGAACGAAATAAAAAATGTGTGATTTCGTCTTCCTCAACCGTCTTCATTGTTGTAAAACGCATCTGTCGGCGTTAATTGAATCCACACACCGTTACTGATGTCGGTACAGTTATAAAACCATAGAACTGCTTCATTCAACACTTGAATAACGTAGAAAGTTGACAAAGTTTTGACATCCATCTCTGACCAGCGGTTGTAACATGTCGCGACACACTTACTGTGACGGTGTAACTGTGAAAGAGACTGAAGCGGACATAGAAGTAACCTGTTCGTGTGGTGTATGATGAACACAGAAATGTCAAAACTACCCTAAAACACGATACTGTTAAGTTTATTTGTTTATATTACGTGACAGATTCATATAGAATCTACACACAAACACTTTTGTTGAGAAATCCACTTACTGAGGTCGTATTTTACTCACAAACATCGTCCACGTCTGGCAGATATCACAACAATGGGGGTAAATCAGAAATTTACAAAAAATTGTCTTATGTTAGGTGTTTCTGTAAACTAATCAGGGGCACCTTTAGAATACAGCACCACAACTGCTCGTGAGGACGATCTCTGTCGTGTGTCACGTGTCATTAAGACAAGTAACCAGTTTGAAAGGTGCATGCATGAATGAAGCGCTTTTATAAAAATAAGGTGATTTTGTGACAGAAAAGTGATGTAGGGACACTGTAGGGATAATGTGGATCGCGCTGAGGAACGAGGGAGACATGAGCATGTCTAGTGATGGCACGAGGGTGAGTTAGCCTTCGAATCATTACTGAACAAATGTCGCGTTAAAGAGGATTGAGTGTACATTCGACGTTTGTGGTTTCCCGTTTTTAGGTGAAAAAAGTATTAAAATGCAAAAGGAAAAACAGCAAATGGTACTCACGTATTACACCGGACCCTAAACCCAAAGCCCAAAGCCCAAAGCCCAAGCCCAAGCCCAAGCCCAAGCCCAAGCCCAAGCCCAAGCCCAAGCCCAAGCCCAAGCCCAAGCCCAAAGCCCAAGCCCAAGCCTTAAGCCCAAAGCCCAAAGCCCAAAGCCCAAAGCCTAACCCCAACCCCAACTCCTTGAAATAATCCTAATAAATAGAACAGATTGACCGAACCGGCACGAACATTATATTGCTGACGTGTCCAGTGTAACCCATTCTTACCGCTTCGAAAAATAAAATACGGATAAAAAACATTTCTATGTAATGGTGCAAATTACTGAATGCAAAAAATAAATATGTATGTCAGTTCGCATTTGTAAATCATTTAGACCTAATAGAAATATATAAAATATTTATCCATAATTTAAATAATTAAATGGACCAAAATTGCGAATAATAGAATATGGCAGAATGTGACCGGTGTAACGCATTCTTACTAAATTCAAAAAAAACAAAATACAAAAATACACAAAATATAACACCTCAGCATCCCGTAATACAAATAACCGCCATAGAGCGCGTTCCGCCATATTGGATAGTGTTTACAAAATCACGTTTCGCGAAGGCCGGTATTGAGACGCCTATTACATCACGTATATTTCATATTCAGCTTCGAAAAATGCATCACTAAATTCCCCATACATTTAAGAATCACATTGCAACTGGTCGTTGTCACCAATACCAACTGTCTAGATAAATGAGACGAAACATATTGGGTGTGTAAACAAACGCTGTGCTGGAAAGAATGCGCTTGTTTGAAATGTAAACAAAGACAAATTCCGATTTTACACTGCGTAGCATTTTCTGAAATTTTCCAACATCCACCCGTCTATTCATTGCTTGCAATGGCTCAATACCTTTGGAATACGCATGGAAAGAGTATTGTAGCGAGAAATAGGAAATTATAAATAGATACAATGCAATGATTTGATAATTCATAAGAAATTGTCAAAATTTCTGTGCAGCGTGACGCCATGACTGACGCAAAATCACGCAGAACGACAAGTGTAATTATCAGCATTTTTGGCTTCTTCTCTTACTTACAGTGAAAATGATGAAAACATAAAACAATACACAGATAGTCAGAATTATTCTGATTACTTACATGTCATATTTATGTACAAACGATCCCTGAATCAATGGAAGGGTCCTCGCAAAATCCAGCTGTGTATCCTTGTCAGCAAAGCCGCCGTTTTGTAATCGGTAGTGATATAATATGTTGTACAAATTAGGCGGTTATCTCCCATTTGACAGACAGTCAATATTGACAGACACCGAACTAGAAGGTTAATTAGGGTAACACCTACGGATATTTATAATGGAACAGTCCACTGTCTAGTGAAAAGAGCAGGGTGAGCCTGAAACATGTTCGTTTCTGAGGAAGTTTGATTGTGTATAAATAGAACTTTGTTGTGATTAAATGATAATCTGTCTTCTCTTCTCAAAATTGTTTTTACTATCAATTACTATCGAATATAAAAACAGCAAAAAAACAAGCAATGACGTCAACTTAAATGTTGTATTATTTTCGGCAATTTCATTACATTTGAAGATATGGCTAGTACTCTGGTAATAACGATGCAAAATTAGTCAAAATACATCTACATAAACAGGAAAATATGGGAATCTAAGAACTAACTTATATATCGGAAAGGGCCATCCAAATCGTTATTACGTGCTTTCACATTTAGTACGTTGTCATCTTTTCTTATAAATTGTGAAACTACCAAAGCGTATCCGCTCACATTGGGGAACTTTGAATTGGAATAGTTTGGGTCACCGCGTGAACAAAAAATAACGAAAATATAGCGTCCGTATCCACAACAAATTCTCTCCATGTGATCTGAGTTACATTGACCAAATGTTAAGCATAACGGAGTTATGCCCCTTATCATTATACGTGTATGGCCTCTCTGTCGTCGTTTTACGTCATATAGAAGATCCATTTTTGACATTTATTGCGAGTCATTTTTAATGTTGAGCGTATAACGTTATGCATAAGCACATAAACCCAATTCATATACACTTACGTCGTTCAGATATCAGGCTGTATTTTCTTCGCTCACACTTTCCGTAAAGATGCCAAATTAAAAAATTCGTTTTCTTTTTAGGGTTTGGGGAGTAATATTTCATGGATTATTTATTTCAACATTGACAGTAGTGATAATAATCGAACGGTTGTTGTTTAATAAGACCACGTTCACGGTCTAATTAATATAACGAAGCCAACACGATTATTCAAGACTAACAAACATTTTGCCTTTGTGGCACTTTTAGTATCGGCTAACACTGACTTACGTAACTGAAATTTGAGTAAATGAATTACATTACTGCGTCTAATACATGCCGCCCCTGTTGAGAATGAGATTCGTTGGACTGTAAGTTTTAAATTGATCATTGATTTAAACATTTAAATACTGCTGCACAACCTCAGCAATACACTGTGCATAATATATTACAATAATGTTATCACCAGAGCTCCTCATATATATATATATATATATATATATATTAGCCATTAATATATATATATTAGCCATTACCAGCATGTACAAAAATGTAACCGTTTAACTTGAATTTAATACTCATCTGTTTATTATGTTTCAGTATGTTTCTGCTTATATATTTGAGACTTTAGAGACATTGTCTTATGAATCTTTAGGCTGGTTGATAGATTGATAAATATAATTCTACTTAAAGATATATTTAACAGGTGTAACCTATCCTCTGATATTTAAATATACTACTTCTGTCTGTTCTTTGCCCCCTGTTGGCACAAAAGCACTTATGGGTTTTACGGGGTCTTATATAAGGCATGGTCCCCCCACCTTGATGTAGGTAGAGTCTTATTTAGCGGACACTGGTAGGCGTCGACAGTCTCTAGCACTCCTTCCTCTCCTCTCTCTGTGTAGTGTGTATCCCGTGAAGATCCGGGTTAGAAATAATCTTCTGTAACCCTCGCTTGAGACTAACATATAGTTTCCGAAAAGGACATATTTATAGTAAACGTGTTTTTTTAAAATTAATAAAATATCAAATGAAAGAAGCCCAGAGAGTTTCGAGATTTGCATGGACTTTCTTGGATGTTTGCTTCAGGGTCTGCATGACAGACAACCCACGCTTGTAAGAGGCGACTAACAGGATCGGGTGGTCAGCCTCGCTGAATTGGTTGACACATGTCATCGTATCCCAGTTAAGTAGCTCGATGCTCATGCTGTTGATCACTGGATTGCCTGGTCCACACTCTAGTTTTAAATTAGTTTTACACCGCTTTTAGCAATATTCCAGCCACATGGGCGTGTCACGCTTAGAAACAGCGTTAGAAAGACATATAGGTATATAGACCCTACCCTAGTAATATAGTACTAGGGTAGGGTCTATATACCTATATGTCTTTCTAACGCTGTTTCTAAGCGTGACACGCCCTGTGATTCCAGCAGCATCACGGCGGGGGACACCTGAAACGGGCTTCACACATTTTACCCAAGTGGGGAATCGAACCCGGGTCCACACTCTATTATTTACAGACCACCGCACAGAGCTGGAATATTGCTGAGTGCGGCGTTAAACAACAAACAAACCTAAACCAAAGGCTCGTGATAACAAAAGATGCCAGGTTATGCATCTTACTACGGTTATAACGAACACGTTTATAACGAACTTTTTGGCCCCCGAGACTTGCTGTATATGCTGGTCGAAATACGTATAACTACTGTTCTAGCGAACTAAATTTAAAGGTCGCTTTGAGTTGTGGGCGTAGTTTACTGTTATTCGAAATACTTAATGTAAATACCATATCAAATCATTTGCATATATCACCTACACAACAATAAAAAGGTTTTATTTATGATATGTGCGACTAGGTCATAGAACTGCAATATCAGGTAGAGGGAAGGCAAAATGTTAAAGTGTGTATTGAAGATAAATAACATTTAGGACACGAAACGCAGTTCTTGATTATTTCACAATTCAGTATTTACTGGTAGTGTGTCGTACGTTTGCGTGGGCAATTCAAGATCACACGCTAGAAACTTGTTAGAAGAATCTATTCTTGAGCTGAAGTTAGTGACTCGGTTGGTTTGTTGTTTTACGCCGCACTCAGCAATATTCCAGCTATATGGTGGAGGTCTGTAAATAATCGAGTCTGGTCCGGACAATCCAGTGATCAACAGCATGAGTATCGATCTACATAAATGTGAGCTGAAGTGTTGCCCGAGAATTATTAACTGATGAAGGATCTGACGTGAACGGTACAAGAAAGAAGAATAACGAAGGAAGGTGACAAAATATTGATGTATCTCTACGAGAGTGTCTTGTTAGAAGACGAATATCCCTTCTTATTGAAATCCTGTGCTTATAAAGATCTTTGGACCGATTTTTGTCTGACGATTTGCAAGTTAATGTGGTATCTTATATCTTTTAGCAATATCCTTAAATAAAACAAAACTAAAGGCATGATCATGCTAGCTCCTTTTATATATTATGCATATATGGAATGAGGGTAAAGTTAGAAAATGAGAAAATATGAACTAATATTCTGGCCTACCTCCATAACATAGTAACACTATTTCCAAGAAGTGACGCGCATTCATACGCAAACATTTATCCTCTTGCCTGGTAACACCTGTGAGAATAAAGGCGTGTGGCCTTGCCTAAATTTCCGTTGACATTAAATGTACTCGTTTTTTCTGGAAGCAACTCAGAAATAAGCACTAGAGCAACTTTATTTACATAGGGATCTTTCACACCTCAGGATTTCAGTTCACTTCGTGAAAATGCATTTGGTATTTCGCTCTAGAAGCGTAATAAAATAATCTGATGAGTTTCCCTCATTATCTCCCTTTAGGAAGTACTCTTGCGTTAGTGAAACGAAAAGTATTCTACTTCCGTTGTGATCGCTGACCATTGCTTGCACCTCTTGTTTTCATTACCTTCGCTTTCCACTACAGTGAATATGCCTGGCATTGATAAAATAATCAAGGGAATTTTGCATTTTAGAAGATTTGATCGACCTTTCATGGTAGAAGAGTTTCTGAGGGTGAAAGCGGACCCACAGGTGTGTATTTGTTGTGATGATGTAAACACTACTAAACAGCTGATGCTCCAGTAAAATCCCTCCAAATAACACGTTAATCATGTGATCGCAATCACAAATATCACGAAAGAAATCGAATATACCGCAATACTGGTATGTGCATGGGTTTTCGGAACAGTGGTAGTTCCCGGGGACAATGCTGCACAATGAATGTCGCATTTATTCCTGACCAAAGTCCACGCATTGATCATGTTGATAGTATCAAGTCGTTGATTTATTACCTGCTTGCATCAAGGGTAACAGTTGGGTAAGAGTTCCGCCCGTGGGAGTACTGCACTTTACCGGGCGCACTTTTTCAGATTAATTAGCGTTGCTGGGGTTCCCTAAGGATCGTAAAGGGTGGCATACCCTAACCCTAAACCCTAACCCTAAGGATCGTAAAGGGTGTAATACCCTAACCCTAAACCCTAACCCTAAGGATCTTTAAGGGAGCAGGAAGGGCTGTGCCCGGTAAAGTGCATTCTAGCCTCGTCCGTAACCCCCACTTGAAATGTCAAAATGTAAAATTGGTGTTGTAGTGTAAATAAGAATTAAGGGTAGGGTTTGGGTTGGGTTGTGTTTAAATTATGGTTAGGGTTAGGTTAGTGTTAGTATGCATCGGAGTGGATACGAACTCACTAATACTAATGAAAAAACCTGGGGTGCGGAAATCTTTCCAATAGTCGAGAATGGCTTTCCTCGTGTGCAGCCAGAAGTGTGTATTATAATATGTGGTCTGTGTTATTATATTTTTTAAATTGGAGCACCTTTAGAATCCCCCACCATGACTTGTACAGATGTATCATCCTACTGCGAATGACATTACAAGTCACGTGACCATCCTTCACATACTCCTTCAATGTGAAGAAACTTTTGCAAATGAACCTTACACAACAGGACTCGAACCGGTGACACGCTCTCTACTGATTGCGCTACGGGGCCCTTGAGAATAACATGTTCAATACGTCGCGTCACTGATAATGATTGGGTAATAGTTGCTGCCAGTAACCATGTCACGGTCACCGCCACGTTTGGTTTACACCAAACACCAGCATGCATGTGTTTATCGTGTTTATGAGTAATTGCAAATACTTACATTGACATGTGAATAATGCTTGGTAGAATAACATTGACAGCATCAGCAATGAGGAAAGGAAAGATAAAAACCCAAGAAAAATACCCTCCCAGTAAAGTAAAAGTAAGGGGCAAGCCCCCCTATAATCACCCATTGAAACGAATTTGTTAGTTTCTGTTTACATTACAATGTTAACAAACACTGCACTGAAGCCTTACAAATGTGAGGCCAGTTTGACCACTGTCCCTATGGGAACACAACCAAGAGAGTCAGTGTAATACATTTTTACAACAATATTGCAACATCATGGTTTAGAATACAAAGATACAAATATGTTTGATTTCATGTGCTCTTATTTGGTTGGGGGTTCTAAACCCAGGCCACAGAGGACTGCATAGAACAGAAACATATTGTCTTGATTCAAGGTGCTGCAGCAGTGAAAACCTGACTAAAACATTAAGCAGTGACTGAGCCATTCATAAGTAACTGAATGAACTCCTCCTTAAAGAATGTATGAACCAAACAATTAATGATTATAATCGTTGTACATGATTTTCCTGCAGTAGTGGTTACCATGTAAACTAGATTACTTCTGTAAATCTGTTTATTTTGTTTTAAATTCTGTTCATCTCATTTCTACATAAGTATCATATAATATAAGCATATGATATAGGGTTACCCTCGGTGTCCGTCCGTACGAAACAGGGAATGTATTCTATCCACTTCTCCACCATAACCGCTCTGTGGAATTCAATGAACTTATACATGGGCTTTCTTGGGACTCTAATGGTGTGCATCTCATATTTTGTTTTTTTTATTTTATTGTTTTTTTGTAAGTTTAGAGACATTTGAACTTAGGTACATTTTGCTGAATTTCTCTATGATGATAGTGTAATAGGGGATGAAGTCTATCCACTTCTCCACAAAAACTGCTCAACAGAATTGTAGGGACTCTAAAGGTGTGCATTTCATAATTTTTTATGCAATTTCTTAATTTTGTCACTTTTACAGATGTTTGAACTTAGTTGAATTTTGTTCTATTCAGCCAGTGTTCGTTCCATCCAACAGGGGGTGTACGTTATCCACTTCTCCTCAAAAACTACTTTATGGAATTCATTTAGATTACACATGTGCTTTAAAGGGACTCTAAAGGCGTGCATCTCATATTTTGATTTTGTATTTTATTTATTTTTCCAATTTTAATGCCGTTTGAACTTAGATAAATTTTGTTGAATTTCTCTCTGAATATAGTGTTGTAGGGGGTGAAGTCTATCCACTTCTCCACAAAAGCAGCTCAACAGAATTGATTGAGCTTCTACGTGTGTTTCATTGGAAACTAAAGGTCACATAAACCCTAGGGGTAAAAATACATAAATCACTAACTGGCATCGTTATAAATGAAACCCCGCCATTAAAACTACTCATTTCGACCTTTAATTGACTTAAATCGACCTTTTGACAACAGTGCACAATTCTCACCACGAACGAAATTTCAACCAATCAGAGCTGCCGACTCTGTGACGCCATATGAGGAATAGCTTTGAGGGCCGATGCAGAATTCATCTACATTTTAGGGGTAAATTATCTTGTTTACAGGCTTGTATAAACCTGAAATCGTGACAATTGTTGTGGAAAATGAAAGCTATATGTTCTCACAATCTACTGTCATTTAATTTTGTCTCCTGCTTTGCCTAGTTTCCGAAGTTACAACTTGTTTTCATAGACGCTTCTGTCACAATTGATTGGTGTCGTTAGGCCCTATTTGTATAATGACTGATCCAAATTGATCCCATTTCTGTGTTTTTTTACCTCGATATTTAATCATGTCATGTAAAAATCTGTTTGTATTCTCAAAACAGTGTCGGCCCATAAGTTTTCACATGCAATACAGCAATTAATACTCCCTTGTTGTAACCCGTGTTAGGTGGTATAAACCTACACATGTTATTTGTCATCATTCACTTGATGGTCAGTTAATGAATTTATAACAGGTATAATTAGTGGTAACACACTTAGATTACCCGACAAAGGTTCCCATTTGGCATTTCTTGTGTCTGGAGTAAATATTCAACATTATAAACATCGATCAAAGGATTAACCGATAACACGCTGATTGATTAATTACTTTTATCTTACACAGCCGGAATTGTCAAAAGGTAGTGTTTATGTATGTAGATTTACTAATCTATACTGAATACACTCTGCCGTGGTCGGTGTTCATGTGAAAAACAACGCCCTTCTTCAAAGGATTAACCGCAATACATTGATTGATTGCCCATTATTGGCTAACTAAATTACTGTTTTAATGAAAGGCGGACATTATGCAATTAGTTGCCAGGTGTGCTATCTTGGGTGACCAATGAGACTATACACCAATACCTGAAAAGATTTATCACTTTTTCGTGATATTAAACTGTTAAAAGACACATCATTTGGAACAGTTTTGTGGATATTGATGGATACATTCCTCAAACAAGGTAATGGCCTGATATTGTTCCTATAACTTTAATCTGTTTTAATTTTAATATTTGCATTTTGTTTTTATTCATTTGTCGTAGCATTCAACAGAATCATTGTTTTCGCCAAGAAGTGTAATGAGACAGACAACATACACTAGGGTGTGTGTGCTAATTATGATTCACATTGGCAAACTATAAAATGTCTAGATATTACAGTTCTGTTATAAATTCACTATAAGTATCAGCAGATCGCCAGCTTTTTATTTAGTTTCAAAATGCATAAAAGTATGATAATAAACTAATTAGGATTATAAGACCAAATATAAAGACGCATTACTGACTAGTATCTACATACTGGTGAGTGGACATTAACCATGTGAATGTAGCAAGAAATTTATCGCAGTATTGTGACTTCGACCCCACCTCGCTTCTCGTGGAAGAAATCGCTATGTTATAAGTTGTGTCATGCAAAATCCTTTTGGTTATGATTCCAATACATATTTAACTATTTAGTAGAAAGTAGTTTTGATTTTCTAACTTGATGAAAACAAACTATAATCTCATTAATTCTAACAGACTTTACGATTTTCAAAATGGCGGCGCTCTGTCGGGAACATCCGCCAGTCTGTGGATAAATGCTATTTAGGTTTGTTTTCACCGAAGTTACAAAATCAAAACTACTTTCTACTGGTAGTAAAATATGTATTTTATTGATGGCCAATAGGATTTTGCATGACATAGCGATAACATAACAATTTCTCTCCTGGCAGCCAGGTGGGTGTCAATATAATACTACTTACAATATTATTGTTACTTCGACCACAACCTCACTTCCGAGGAAGAAATCGCTATGTTACAAGTTGTGTTATGGAAAATCTTTATGGTCATCAATCATATACATATTTTACTATAACTAGTAAGTAGTTTTGATTCTTTAACTTCCGTGAAGCCGATCTGAACACAAGTAAGATATCGCTTCAGGCTTCCACAACGCCGCTTCGCGACTCACAAACATAACCCATTTAGCACCTAACTGCGGGTCCTGTGGAAATCTGTGCATGGTGACACCATCACCCGACCCTAGGAGCAATTGACGACAAAGCAACGATTCGCATGTCGCCGCTCATGTCGAGAAATCATCAAAATGATGAGCGCATACACTACACACTTTCTATACAACTAACTGAAAATCGCTCCTCATATGACGCCACTGCAGTGCTCTGGCGACAGAGTTACGTGAACCTGTCTGTGGTTTCAAGGCGGGCGAGAGGGAAGCAGGCTTAATTTTTGGCCACTTTTAATCGCCGGTATTAATTAACCACAAGTTTTAAAGAATAAATTTGGTGTTCCGCATAAGACTAACCACAAATCTTTCATATGTAATGGTTAAAAGAGTAACAAAAACAAAGTTTAGTGGTTCTTTAATTGTAGCATGTTTTTGCATAGATTATTACCAAAATAGGGTCTTGAACATAATCTAAAAGCAGACCATGAAGAAAGACCTATATTTGTATATTGTAGAAAGTTATGATGTTTATCTATGACAAAAGGTAATGTAAGATATTATCGATACCACAATTTCCTTATTGATAATCATTATTAACTTATCCTATCGACAATATTTCCAATTATTGATCATTTTAGCCAGCAATAGCTACAAACATGATTCTACAGCTGTAACCTGCTCTGAAATTTGAGGTGAAGCAATTTCCACACAATATGACGTAAATTTGCACAAAGCTGTATGCATCGTATAGCGACCGAATTGTTTAAGACATGAGATCTTTTAATCCCATGATTGTATGTATTAGAGTCACATATGTCTCTTCATTTTCAGCCCAGCTCGGTGTTCTTTACCTGCATGGACAGCCGAGTGCTGGCATCGAGGTTCACCACCAGCCATGTTGGGGACAACTTCTTCATCCGTAACGCTGGGAACCTCATCCCGAATGCCAAGCACTTCAGCTACGAGTCTGTCACAACAGAACCCGGTGCGCTGGAGCTAGGCTGCATCATCAACAACATTAAACATGTGGTGGTGTGTGGACACTCCGACTGCAAGGTGAGTGTCTTAGCGAACACATATGCCGGGGCACATTCCACAAAGTGCTCTAGTCTTAGCGCAAGGCTATCGGGAATCAATGTATCAGAGAATCTTAGTGCTACAATCACTTTGTGGAGCATGTGGTGGTGTGTGGACACTCCGACTGCAAGGTGAGTGTCTTAGCGAACACATATGCCGGGGCACATTCCACAAAGTGCTCTAGTCTTAGCGCAGGGCTATCGGGAATCAATGTATCAGAGAATCTTAGTGCTACAATCACTTTGTGGAGCATGTGGTGGTGTGTGGACACTCCGACTGCAAGGTGAGTGTCTTAGTGAACACACATTTACTCCACCAGGCCACATTCCACGAAGTGCTCTAGTCTTAGCGCAGGGCTATCGGGAATCAATGTATCAGAGAATCTTGGTGCTACAATCACCTTGTGGAGCATGTGGTGTGTGTGGACACTCCGACTGCAAGGTGAGTGTCTTAGCGAACACATATGCCAGGCCACATTCCACAAAGTGCTGTAGTCTTAGCGCAGGGCTATTGGAAATCAATGTATCAGAGAATCTTAGTCCTACAATCACTTTGTGGAGCATGTGGTGGTGTGTGGACACTCCGACTGCAAGGTGAGTGTCTTAGCGAACACATGCCTACTATGCCGGGGCACATTCCACAAAGTGCTCTTAGCGCAGGGCTATCGGAAATCAATGTATACGAGAATCTTAGTGCTCCGATCATTTTGTGGAGCATGTGGTGGTGTGTGGACACTCTGACTGCAAGGTGGGTGTCTTAGTGAACACACATTTACTCCACCGGGCCACATTCCACAAAGTGCTCTAGTCTTAGCGCAGGGCTATCGGAAATCAATGTATCAGGGAATCTTAGTGCTATAATCACTTTGTGGAGCATGTGGTGGTATGTGGACCCTCTGACTGCAAGGTGAGTGTCTTAGCGAACACATGCCTACTATGCCGGGCCACATTCCACAAAGTGCTCTTAGCGCAGGGCTATCGGAAATCAATGTATAAGAGCAGCTTAATGCTCCAATCACTTTGTTGAGCATGTGGTGGTGTGTGGACACTCCGACTGCAAGGTGGGTGTCTTAGAGAACACATGTCTATTCTGCCGGCCCCATTCCTCAAAGTGCTCTAAACGCTACAACTATAGAAAACCAATGTTAAAGTATAAGAGCATCTTTGTGTTTGGATCACTTTGTAGAACGAGGTCCTTGTGATAATATATTTGACTTACTGACCAGATCTGGAAAATTAAAATTATGACCAGTATACAGGCATAATGCAATATGCCTTTACACTGTTGGTAATACAATACGTTTTCTGTGGTCCAGTATATTGGGTAAAATATATATAACATATTTCTTCATTATTTGAAGATTCCAGCTGAAAATATACACAAATGTTGTTTCACTTAAAAAATGATTGGCATAAAGGTGGAAGTGATTTTTCGCAATTACATGTACATGTGTGCTTAGTCTAGCCTTCAAGCAGGAATAGAAAGAAAATAAATGAGTACCTTGACCATTTCCTGTTCAACATACAGCAAGCTAAACAGACCACCTCCAGTTTGGCCTAAAATGTCACCAGCTTGAAAATATGTGATCACGTTCAGCATAAGTCATAACATTAAAAATTGTAGCTCTAAATATTTAAAAATGTGGTTGGTTTTAATTACTGGATGGATTTACATTTACAAAAAAACACAAAATGTTTTACAAAAAAACAACCAATCATAGATGTTTCAGTCTGCACTGAAGGCTCCTTAAAGAGCTTCTTAAACTGCGCACTTGATGATGTTATCATATCATCAAGTGCGCAGTTTAAGAAGCTCTTTATTATCATATCATCAGATCATTAGGATTTCATTTTCCAGTTAAACTTATTAACAAACAACAGAATGGCATTCATAAAATTGCTCAGTGAAGGTATATAGTTTTGTGGACATTAAGGTCCCGAACCATCTCGATGGTCCAGTAGATAGGGCACCTGCCAAGAAAGCACATCCTACCACACAGTATTTCAGGGCTGGAAATAACTTTAAAATTGCTAGTGTACTCCGGTACAGTGGCACAAGTAAAATCACTTGCCCTGATTATTTTTCCACTATACTGGCTGATTTTCTTGTTGAGTTTTTAAATAAACAACATAATTAACATTGGAAAGTCAACTGGACACCGGTACAGTGTGATATACAAATATGCTTGCCCGACAGAAAAAAACACTGGACTCGCACGTCAGGCAATGGGTTATTTCCACCCCTGTATTTAAGCAACAACTTGATATGGTACTTGTTGTTACCCTGACTGGTGCCCAGCATTAAGAGGATGAAACAAGAACCGGTCAGTCTGGAGTTTACTGTGTATTAGTGGGGTGTCCATTTCAAACAGTGGCAAGCAGGGCTGTTGTGAGTCTCTTGCATGTTCTGTGAATCGAACCACCTTCATGAATTTGTTATTTGTGATCACCAGTATTGAATATTCAGGAGTGGTTTTACATTAAATTAGTTGTTTATCAAAACACGATCTGCAAAGTGGAATATATCCAATCCTGGCAGGATATCAGCCAACAGATATACAGTCGTGCCCCGTTTATCCGAACCTCAGATATCCGGAAAACTCACCTTCCGAACGAAAATTCCTCAAAACGAATTCACAATGTTGTAAAATTACTCACTTATCTGGAAATCCGGACAGTCATATTCACATACAAAACGCTAAATTATATGCATTTTTTCTCGTATATCTGGATGGCAGAGCACCTGTCAGCATGTTTACACACGCATTTTACCGAGTGGCTTTGCGTGCCCTAACATAAAAGAAGTCGGCAGTCTTTGAAGCGTGAGAGCATTAACTACCTGTAATTAGCAAGGTGACACTGAGTTAATTTTGAGTTGTGATTGGCAAGGCAAGACGTCCCTGTTGTTTTGGTAGTGACTTTAATCCGGAAGTTTATGTTAGGTACAGCAACAATGCAAACGTCTTGGGTCTATTATGTTCGTTTCTTTGTATGTCTTTTTACATATGGTCCGTGGTTCAGATATCCGGAAATTTGTTTATCCGGACAATTTCAAGAAAAACACAACTGTCCGGATAAACGGGGCACGACTGTATTATTTTGACATTAGTGTGATCACTGGTCTGTGTTATAATAAATTAACATTGTAAATGTAGACATAACATGCCAAAGAATCCATTTTGTTATTGTTACAATGAATTTAATGAATAAAACATCATCTCCTGACTTGTTATTGAATTTGTTTCTCAAAATATGTGATATGTATCATATTTGCCTTATAGTGGATATGACCGCCTCCGTGGTGTAGTGGTTAGAGCATCCGCCCGGAGAGCGGAAGGTCGTGGGTACGATCCCCGACCGCGTCATACCAAACTATGGTACTTGTTGGTCCTTGCCTGGCGCTCGGCATTAATGGGTACAACAAGGACTGGTCGGCTCGGAGTCAGTATAATGTGTCTGAGTGGGGTATTCGTGCTTCACTGCGGCATGATGGGCTAGCACTATTAAACCAGCTTAAGTCTGGGCTAGTACAAGCAGCCGCACATACACATACACACGCATGCACGTCGTCATATGAGCGAAATATTCTCAAGCACGACGTTAAACCCAATTTCACCTCACCTCACCTATAGTGGATATGTTGCAGAACTTGTGACTGTGGATCTCAGTAGAATAGTATTATAAAAGCAGGCTGAGTTCAGACTGGCACTTCAGCCACACCCACTCAAACTACCACACCACACCACACCACACCACACCACACCACACCTCACCACAGCAGTATCGGTGTAATACTCTTGAACCTGATATTTCAGGCCATGAATGCACTGTACGGCCTCCGCCACGACCGTCAGCACCAAATAGGCACACCACACCACACCACACCACACCACACCACACCAGTATCGATGTAATACTCTTGAACCTGATATTTCAGGCCATGAATGCACTGTACGGCCTCCGCCGACGACCGTCAGCACCAAATAGGCACACCACACCACACCACACCACACCACACCACACCAGTATCGATGTAATACTCTTGAACCTGATATTTCAGGCCATGAATGCACTGTACGGCCTCCGCCACGACCGTCAGCACCAAATAGGCACACCACACCACACCACACCACACCAGTATCGATGTAATACTCTTGAACCTGATATTTCAGGCCATGAATGCACTGTACGGCCTCCGCCACGACTGTCACCACCAAGTAGGCACACCACTACAGATGTGGCTCAAGAAGCACGGCCAGCCCACAGTGTCCAAGTTTGAAAAGCTGGAAGCAGGAAACAACTACTCCGGACCTCTGACATTCCAGGGCGAAACCGAGAAAAGCAACTTTGACGCATACATTGATCCAGAGAACAAATTTTCAATGGCGGACAAATTTTCTCAGGTAGGTTGGCTATTGGTGTCTGGTACTGTGCATAGAGCTCCGCCACAAGTTAGTTGAAGTTAAGCAACATTGGTCGTGAAGAGTCCTTGGATGTGTGACTGTGTCTGGCAGCTTGACTCCTGAGAGTTTCTAGGACTTCAAACCTGTCCCACAATGAAGCACATGTGATGCATGTGGTCTCACCCTGAGCAAGTGAGTTAACATTTGTTCATGAATTGTGTCTGTTTACACAGTGAATGGGTACGCACTGGGGTAGGTCCTATAACTGTTGACCTTCTAGTGCCTCTGTTCCAGGTGAACTGTCTTATCTATAGTTATGACACACCCCTGTATAGATATGACACTCTGTTCCAGGTGAACTCCCTTGTCTATAGTTATGACACACCCCTCTTTAGGTATGGCCCTCTGTTCCCGGTGAACTCCCTTGTCTATAGTTATGACGCCCCCCTCTGTAGATATGACCCTCAGTTCCAGGTGAACTGTTTTGTCTATAGTTATGCCCCACCCCTGTTTAGATATGACCCTCTGTTGCAGGTTAACTGTCCTGTCAATAGTTATAACCCACCCCTCTGTAGAAATGACCCTCTGTAGATATGACCCTCTGTTCCAGGTGAACTGTCTATAGTTATGACCCACCCCTCTGTAGATATGACCCTCTGTTCCAGGTGAACTGTCTATAGTTCTGACACACCCCTCTGTAGATATGACCCTCTGTTCCAGGTGAACTGTCTTGTCTATAGTTATGACCCTCTGTAGAAATGACCCTCTGTTCTATATGAACTGTCTTGTCTATAGTTATGACCCACCCCTCTGTAGATATAACCCTCTGTTCCAGGTGAACTGTCTATAGTTATGACACACCCCTCTGTAGATATGACCCTCTGTTCCAGGTGAACTGTCTATAGTTATGACACACCCCTCTGTAGATATGACCCTCTGTTCCAGGTGAACTGTCTATAGTTATGACACACCCCTCTGTAGATATGACCCTCTGTTCCAGGTGAACTGTCATGTCTATAGTTATGACCCTCTGTAGAAATGACCCTCTGTTCTATATGAACTGTCTTGTCTATAGTTATGACCCACCCCTCTGTAGATATAACCCTCTGTTCCAGGTGAACTGTCTATAGTTATGACACACCCCTCTGTAGATATGACCCTCTGTTCCAGGTGAACTGTCATGTCTATAGTTATGACCCTCTGTTCTATATGAACTGTCTTGTCTATAGTTATGACCCACCCCTCTGTAGATATAACCCTCTGTTCCAGGTGAACTGTCTATAGTTATGACCCACCCCTCTGTAGATATGACCCTCTGTTCCAGGTGAACTGTCTATAGTTATGACACACCCCTCTGTAGATATGACCCTCTGTTCCAGGTGAACTGTCTATAGTTATGACCCTCTGTTCTATATGAACTGTCTTGTCTATAGTTATGACCCACCCCTCTGTAGATATAACCCTCTGTTCCAGGTGAACTGTCTATAGTTATGACCCACCCCTCTGTAGATATGACCCTCTGTTCCAGGTGAACTGTCTATAGTTATGACACACCCCTCTGTAGATATGACCCTCTGTTCCAGGTGAACTGTCTATAGTTATGACACACCCCTCTGTAGATATGACCCTCTGTTCCAGGTGAACTGTCTATAGTTATGACCCTCTGTAGAAATGACCCTCTGTTACAGGTGAACTGTCTTCTCTATAGTTATGACCCTCTGTAGAAATGACCCTCTGTTCCAGGTGAACTGTCTTGTCTATAGTTATGACCCTCTGTAGAAATGACCCTCTGTTACAGGTGAACTGTCTTGTCTATAGTTATGACCCTCTGTAGAAATGACCCTCTGTTCCAGGTGAACTGTCTTGTCTATAGTTATGACCCTCTGTAGAAATGACTCTCTGTTCCAGGTGAACTGTCTTCTCTATAGTTATGACCCTCTGTAGAAATGACCCTCTGTTCCAGGTGAACTGTCTTGTCTATAGTTATGACCCTCTGTAGAAATGACTCTCTGTTCCAGGTGAACTGTCTTGTCTATAGTTATGACCCTCTGTAGAAATGACCCTCTGTTCCAGGTGAACTGTCTTGTCTATAGTTATGACCCTCTGTAGAAATGACCCTCTGTTCCAGGTGAACTGTCTTGTCTATAGTTATGACCCTCTGTAGAAATGACCCTCTGTTCCAGGTGAACTGTCTTGTCTATAGTTATGACCCTCTGTAGAAATGACCCTCTGTTACAGGTGAACTGTCTTGTCTATAGTTATGACCCTCTGTAGAAATGACCCTCTGTTCCAGGTGAACTGTCTTGTCTATAGTTATGACCCTCTGTAGAAATGACTCTCTGTTCCAGGTGAACTGTCTTCTCTATAGTTATGACCCTCTGTAGAAATGACCCTCTGTTCCAGGTGAACTGTCTGCAGCAACTACAGAACATTGCAAGTTATGATTTCCTGAGAGAGAAGCTGCACAGGAACGACGTGCGGCTCCATGCCATGTGGTTTGACATCTACACCGGCAACTGCTTCATGTTCAGTCGAGAGAGGAAGATGTTTGTGGAAATTACGGAAGACAATTATGCTCATTTGATTAAAGATGCTCACAGTGATCTCCACTAACAGTCAAAGTTTGTGTGGGCTGAAATCTGGAACAAGATCATAAAACTACACCGAGGAACAAGATCATAAAACTACACCGAGGAACAAGATCATAAAACTACACTGTGATATGTCTCTGACCATTTATTGCCAACATAGCACTGTATCATAATATTTAATGAGTGATATTCTGTCATCAATCAATCTTGATTTCAGTACTTAAAAAGGCCACAGGCCTGTAGTACATTTAGAGTTTACATGAGTAGATAGAAGTCATATGTAGTCTTTGAGTGTCAATTATTTTGTTAAACAGACTGAATTTATGAGAAAAAAGTCCAGTTTATAGAAAAAGTTCTTTCAATCTGATTCTCATCAGCCCACACAACTGATGTCTAAAAGTCCTAAACCTTGCCGCTGATGCTGACATCCTTGCATCAGGTAAATGACACATATCCAGATTACTATCTGCAAAGACATACATTTCCAAATATGGGAAGCATTATTTTGTTATCTGTCTTTAGGTGTAAATTGGTGGTGTACATTTTTATCACATAATTCAAGATGCAGGGGCAGAAATAAAGTTATTAGTGTTCACTGGAGGTTAATTTCCTGAGAAAAAATATAAATAATGATATGACAAAATTCAAGGGAAAAGAATTCCTCAGAACAAGAAATCCACTGCAGAGCATTTCAGACCCGTTTCATATTTTGCTAAATTGACGGGCTCATTTGTGAAAAAAGGTAACTTGGCATGTTTCAGTTTATCATGTTATAGTTTTAAGAAAAGAGACCAATGACTGTGAGTCTATTGAATGAATGCTTGCTTGCTGAGCCAACGGGTGATGTAGGTACGATCTGAAATATTACCGACGACATTGCTATTTTTTGAGTCAATTATTATTGTGTTCAGTTCAAAAACTGCCATTAGAGTAGTTACAGAACACTGGTAGGTGCAAGGGTTTGGGGATCAATGGGATGCTCTTTGTATTATATCAGTGAGTTGGAGTAAGAATTATACAATGTGTACTCTATCCACCATTACCCTACAAAAGCCTGCCAACCCTCCCCTTCCCATTCCTTTCCCCAATCCTTTCCTTGCCCCAATCCTTTCCTTGCCCCAATCCCCTACCCTGTTATCTCTACAAATGTGAAGTTTGTGAATGTAATATATGGAGTGTTTGTCTGTGAAATGTCATTCTTTGGAATGCATGTAGCAAATTCTCTTTTTTTAAGAACATGTTTTCTTCATGTATACTGAACATCATTGAAAATGCACCACCTGTATTAGTTTGGATTTCCAAGAGCATAAATGAGCAATCGGTGTAAATTTTACATACTTTTGTAGTCCAATGATTGGTAAAGAAAAGAAACAAGAACCAATCCAATAAAACAGTGAAGTTTTAATTCAGCTGACCATGAAAGAAAGATGGAGTCAAATTGGAAAGTCAGTAACGTGTATTACTTGTGTGTTAGCAGCAACACAAGCTGTGCAACGTCTCCTCATTGCACTGATAAGTCTCTGAATAATGTTTTGAGGCAATGCATTCAACTCTTGTTGAAAGGCATTTTCAAGTTGCCCAATTGTTGTTGATCTGTGGGCGACGTGAGAGGTGTTGGCCGATGTAATCCCACAAGTGTTCAATGGGAGACAAATCTGGTGACAATGCAGGCCATGGAAGTGGAGGAATGTTGTTGTTTGCCAGAAACTGTGTTGCAACATGTGCAGTGTGCCCTCGAGCATTGACCTGCTGGAATGTGTGCAGATCTTGATGTTGGTTAAAGAAGGGAACGACGTTGTTTGAAGAATGGTGTCATGGTAGTAAAGGGCATTCACTCTGCCACAACAAACTACCAGAGCGGTTTTGTGATGATAACTAATCCCCCCCAACACCATAATGCTGTCTCCACCCCACCGATCTCCTTGCACAACACAGTCCTGATGGTAACGTTCTCCCTGTCGACGCCATACCCGTAGACGCCCGTCAGCATTTCGCAAGTGAAAACGTGACTTGTTGAAGAACACAACACCATGCCAACGTCATAACAACCACAAACGATGCTGTTCAGCCCATCGTTGGCATTCACGGCGATGTCTATCAGTCAGGATGGGTCCAACATAAGGGTGTCGACACTGCAATCCACGACGTCGGACGGTGGAAGCACTGATCAAACCACGTCGGCCTTGGACAGCGTCGGCGGTTCTGGCAGCTGGCAACGTACGATCACGAATATAGCGACGAACAATGTCTCGATCTTGTCGAGGGGTGGTAACACGTGCCTGGCCAGGACGTTGACGGTCCGTGGTGGTTCGTGTTTATTGGTACCTGTTGGCAAGTCTTATGATGGTGGAATGATGGCAACCAAATCGTCTGGCAATGATCCTGCTTGATGTGCCAACCTGCAACATGCCCAATGCCTGTTCTTGTTCCTCTGGTGACAATCTTGGCATTGCAAAATAAACTTTACTTGCGGAGGTACAGCTAAAATGAGAACGTTGTTTTGCCGACGGTCATTTATACCTCTAATCAGCATGTTTGTTGTTGTCATGTGATGTGTTCCATGATGTGTTCGGGCAATCCGTTCTTTACTGTACAGCATTATTTATTGTCTTTTGTGTTATTAACAACCTTTCCAACGTTCATTTTCACTCTCAAAACAATCCTAATACCATCTTTCAAAATTTACAGGTGATGCGTTTTCAGTGATGTTCAGTTTATTATACAGTCAAGCAGTGTGTCAAATTGAAGGGTCCAACATAAATACTTCCGGTTAGTCGAGGTTTGACGCAACTGTAAAATAATGACCAAATAATGAATACAAGGGGCCCAGCTTTTGCTTCATGATAACCATGAGTTTGCACATCAAGTTTGACACATCACAGTTTGACACATCACAGTTTGACACATCACAGTTTGACACATCACAGTTTGACACATCACAGTTTGACGAAACATCCAAGTTTGACACATTCAAGTTTGATACATCCAAGTATGACACATCAAGTTTGACACATCGAAGTTTGACACATCAAATTTGACACATCACAGTTTGACACATCACAGTTTGACACATCAAGTTGTCTTGATTGACACATCACAGTTTGACACATCAAGTTTGACACATCACAGTTTGACACATCCATGTTTGACACATCAAGTTTGACACATCACAGTTTGACACATCAAATTTTGACACTTCACAGTTTTACAACTGTGCTTGACTGTATGAGAATTATTTGCAATAGATATATCTTCGATATTTGTTATCTTTGTTTAGCAACACTTTGTTCAGATAATATATTTACATGAAAGTGATATTGGTATGTTTTTAGGAAGAAGGTTGATCTGTTGTGATGTGGAAAATCCAAGCAGTAAATGTCCAATACGGGTAACAATAGAATCATCGAATTACCATTAACAAACATCAATTAAACATTTTACTATACCTTGCGATTTGTTCTCTGTATCTTAAAGTGAGACTGACGTGCTATGACTGTTGTCTTGTTCCAAGGGGCATGAAACTCAACAAAAGACAAGGGTTTGATTCCCCACATGGGTACAATGTGTGAAGCCAATTTTTGATGTACCCAACACGATATTGCTGGAATACTGCTATAAGTGGCACACACATTAAACTCAACACTGAATCAACTACCAAGTTCTCACTGCAGCTATGGTGATGCTGTACTTGATATTGGTGATGTTGTACTTGACACATCTCTGTGTTCACACTTTACTTCCTGTAACACGACATGGCCGAACCAGATGTCTGTGGTGCCATAGTCAGCTGTGCAGAATTGCTTAGCTTGGGCAGGACAGAATTCCATGATCATGGGCTCCATACCAGGCTGCCTGTTTATTGCGTACCTTGGGTGACACAGAATCCTATGATCGTGGGCTCCAGACCAGGCTGCCTGTTCATTGCGTACCTTGGGCAGGACAGAATCCTATGATCGTGGGCTCCAGAGCTGGCTGCCTGTTCATTGCATACCTTGGGAAGGACAGAATCCTATGATCATGGGCTCCAGAGCAGGCAGCCTGTTCATTGCGTACCTTGGGCAGGACAGAATCCTATGATCGTGGGCTGCAGACCAGGCTGTCTGTTCATTGTGTACTCCTATGATCGTGGGCTCCAGAGCTGGCTGCCTGTTCATTGCGTACCTTGGGCAGCACAGAATCCTATGATCGTGGGCTCCAGACCAGGCTGCGTGTTCATTGCGTACCTTGGGCAGCACAGAATCCTATGATCATGGGCTCCAGAGCTGGCTGCCTGTTCATTGTGTACCTTGGGCAGGTCAGAATCCTATGATTGTGGGCTCCAGAGCTGGCTGCCTGTTCATTGCGTACCTTGGGCAGCACAGAATCCTATGATCATGGGCTCCAGAGCTGGCTGCCTGTTCACTGTGTACCTTGGGCAGGACAGAATCCTATGATCATGCATGGGCTCCAGACCAGGCTGCCTGTTCACTGTGTACCTTGGGGAGGACAGAATCCTATGATCATGGGCTCCAGAGCTGCCTGCCTGTTCACTGTTTACCTTGGGCAGGACAGAATCCTATGATCATGCATGGGCTTCAGAGCTGGCTGCCTGTTCACTGTGTACCTTGGGCAGGACAGAATCCTATGATCGTGGGCTCCAGAGCTGGCTGCCTGTTCACTGTGTACCTTGGGCAGGACAGAATCCTATGATCATGAGCTGCAGACCTGGCTACCTGTTCATTCTTCTGGGTTTCTCAGCGTCATGTCTGTGGTCCTGAGTTTCACCAAAGTGGTAGATGCCTCAGATCTTTATCACTCTGGGCTTTCACCTTTCACGCCACAATATCCCTGGAATCCTTTCAATGTGATCTTTAAACCCAAGTCACTCACAGCTTGTAACATGTACATTGTTCACCTGGCACAGGCTGTGTTCCATCAGTGCCAGTGCCAGGATGTAGCCAGAAGAGCATTGTCCACATAATGGTATGTACATGTTGCAGTGTCCGACCACCCGAGACGGGCTAGATTTCTGCCGGACGGTCTAATTTCACAGCTAACCATTCCAATGGACAGGTGAAAAAAATATTCAGATAACGTGTCCACTAGGGGTGTCGCGATACGCGAATGTATCGATGCATCGATACATTTTTACTGACGATACGATACGCGATACATGCTTGCGTGTATCGATTCCTATTTCAAAACTTTATCGATTCAAATTTTTATGCTATATCCATCTCCTGCAAAGTCTTGATAGTAAAATTATACGAGACTGCTTCGATAAATAGATGTAGCTAGCTTTACTTAAAAAAAATAGGTTGGAAACTAACAGGTTTTGTGATTGGCTAGACTATTATGATGGACCAATCAGCGAGCGCGTACGTTGCCGGTAAGGTAATGCTATGAAAAGGCGCGAAAATTATGTATCGCGATACGTATCGTATCGTGACCTTAAAATCGTGATACGTATCGTATCGTGAGATTGGTGTATCGTGACACCCCTAGTGTCCACTGGTACTGTCTATTTCGTATTTAAGAAGGACTGGTTAAATCTCTTCTGGGCTGGTAAGTTGTTGAAGTTACCAGCCCAGATGTCTGGCTGGGTTTTTGGCTTATGTCATACACTGGTTGTAGGTGTGTTCTATCAGTGTGTACGTACCTGTTACAGGTGTACCCATTCAGTGTGTACCTGTTACAGGTGTACCCATTCAGTGTGTACCTGTTACAGGTGTACGCATTCAGTGTGTACCTGTTACAGGTGTACCCATTCAGTGTGTACCTGTTACAGGTGTACCCATTCAGTTTGTACCTGTTACAGGTGTACCCATTCAGTTTGTACCTGTTACAGGTGTACCCATTCAGTGGTATCTGTTGCAGGTGTATCAAGTTAGTGTGTACCTGTTACAGTTGTACCCATTCTGTGGTATCTGTTACAGGTGTACCCATTCAGTGTTTACCTGTTACAGGTGTACCCATTGAGTGTGATTGTAGCAGGTGTATCCATTTAGTGTGTACCTGTTACAGTTGTACCCATTCCATGTATACCTGTTACAGTTGTACCCATTCAGTATGTACCTGTTACAGGTGTACCCATTCCGTGTGTACCTGTTACAGTTGTACCCATTCTGTGGTATCTGTTGCAGGTGTATCTAGTTAGTGTGTACCTGTTACAGTTGTACCCATGTAGTGTGTAGATAATTTTCAACTTCAGAAGTACGTACGCCTTATTTTTTCAATATAGGAGTACTGGAACAATTTAAGAGTACATTTAGAGTACTGAATTGAATTTAATGGAGTATCAGTAATCTTGTGTTTCGTTTCATATATGCACCACAACATTGCTACTCTTGTGTAAACAGGTCAATAAACAATAAAACAATACTTTTTCAGATAAATACATCTGTAAATGATTCTGAGACCTAAATCGCTGCTGTAGTGCTTATCTGCTACGTTTCCTAAATTATTTCCTATCTTATCATGCTTATTTTTTATCCGTACATACGCCGATACGGCCTTTATCTGGAGCCTTGCAGTGTGTACCGGTTTCATCTCCTATTTGAGTAAATATTTCAGCACAATTTGCAGTTACAGCATATTGTTGTATAAAGATCAAACTTCACAGAGCCTTCATGTTTCATGTAATTAATCATGATCATACTGACATCTACAAACTGTAATTTTAGGAATAAATTTGTATTGCATGACATGTGGTATATTACATGTATTTTTTGCTAGTACTTGGAAACTTACAAATAATTAGAATTTGTACAGTATGTTTCTCTAGTTCATTTGCACGCGTGAAGGGCCGGGTTAGAATGAGCCTTCAGTACTCCATGCTTGTCGTAAGAGGCGACTAACTGGATCAGGTGGTCAGGCTCGCTGACTTGGTTGGCACATGTCATCGGTTCCCAATTGCACAGATTGATGCTCATGCTGTTGATCACTGGATTGTCTGGTGCAGATTCGATTATTTATAGACCGCTGCCATATAGCTGGAATATTGCCGAGTGCGGCGTAATGATAAACTCACTCACTAGTTCATTTGTGAAAACGTGAGCTGTGATTTATTTTAACAGAAGCAACTACATAGGTTCCATGTCCGGGGTGTTTAAATTTTCTGAAACATAATTTTGTCTTCACAATGCATGTTGGGTGGACATTTTGAGATTAGGGGACCATTCCCTTTTCATTTCATGATTTGGATACTCCAACTGCTTTCGAAATGTCTGCTTTTTTCTCCAAGATGAAGTCACAGTGCAGGTGGCCATGACTTGCTGACTTCATTGTGTTGGCCTGTTGTACATTACTTTATCACTTCGGTGTAGGACCTGGTGCTTGTATGAAGCCAGCAATATATCAACTGACCATGTATCTCCACCACCCATGAATTGAAACAGCCAGTGTGAGTTTTCCGATTTCTTGTTTAAGCAAACAATCATTCAATTGTCTCAGGGAGAAGGAAACAAACAAGTTCCCAGCCAGGGAGTGTTCAGTTTACATCAAAATAGAACATTAGTGTTTCTTGTGCCTAGAAGTTGATCTGGATTTGATTCCCAACATGGGTACAATGTGTCACATTGTGTGTGATATTGCTGGAATATAGCTAAAATCAAGGTACCGTATATTACTGTCTATAAGCCAAATTTTGAGGACCAAAAAAACCAGTCTGTAGAAACAAAATATATTATGCATTTTCTGTCAACTACGCTTCGTTTCGATCCGTGAGTAGACGCAATATATATATGATTGTGAATTCTTTGAATAATGTGGACCAAAGTTATAATTATTGGTAACTGCCAGTTGTCTGTGGTCTGTGTTTGCCGCGATTAGGACCCCATCGCCGGGGATCGACTTATGCACGAAACATACCATTTTGACACTGATTTTAAGGGTCAAATTGGGTGTCGTCTTATCCCTGGGGTGGTCTTATAGACGGTAATATACGGTACATAAGATTATTTATTTGTCTGTGATGTTTTGTTCATGCAGCGGACAATACTGTCTCACCATACTGCTTCTGACACATCTTCAAACTTGTTGATTTGTTCATTAATGAAGTCTATATGTGATGTTCACGTATAGTTAGATATCTTAAGACTGTTCATTATGTTTGTATACAAACACGTTTGTAAGATGATAAACTGTTTTACATTTGCTGTCATCACAGATTACAATTGTTAGTGTTTTGTGTAATTGGTTTCCATGACTACTGAAAGTAGTAATGCAGATTGTATCTTTTCAGAAAGAAAACTGGTAGAATGGCATTGTTTCTGAATGTAAACTATACTGATGGAAATAAATATATGAATAAGTATTATTATGAAAATAATTAAGGTATTATTATGAAAATAATTCAAGATAAAATCTATCTTCATCACCTCAGCTGTGAATTATTGTTCAAAAAGGGTTACTACACCGAAGTTGATCGCTTACTCTCCAGTCCAGTAATTAGACCTTTGACCTAAATCACTTATTTCTTTCCATCAGTATATTCAAATTTTCATTTTCAGTTTGTAGTGTGTGTAGCCAGAGTCTGCCTGTGATATGTGCCAGTTTATGTCATTGTGTGTCGCTGTAAAACATTGTTCCACAATACATGCTATCAATAGGCATTTTGAAATGTGAATTTACAAGTTGTATGTACAAGTATTTCTTTAGAAACTTGCTTGTTAGACAGCAGTTTTTAGCATTTATTTTTCAATATATATGTTTCATTGTTGAACAGATACACACAGGTTTTGTTGAAGTTGAATGAATGGTTAAGGTCCAAAGGATGTGTGTGACCTACATCAAACAAGCTGTTATCAGCTGATACAAGATTGCTGATGCAGTGTTAAACAGTCAACATGGCATGAAACTATTCCGAAGCCTGACCAACAAAACATTTAATTATTTAAGCAAAATTATTATCTTATTGTGAATGTTTGTCTACCTCACTTAATTGTAAACATTCCTTGCAGTCTCATCAGAACCATGGATTAGATGTGCAGTGTTAAACAAGAGTTGTTATTGGTTGAAAAACATAAATTGACACCTATGTTCCATCTGAGTCTTCTAACACAGTTAGTTCTGACACTAATAATGAGATGGCATTATTACAAAGTTGGATACTTATCAGAGTTTATATAGAGCTTTGAGACAAAATAATGACATATAGATTATTCTGTACCAGCCAGTAACACTTCCCGAAGTTCCCCAGTATACATGTAGGAACCATTGTGGAGAGCTGGTTTAGTGTGATATGTAGGGAATGCTGTGGAAATGATGTGATTGTGTTTTTATTAAGTTTCTTTGTTTTCTGGGGACATTACAGAGCTACAATTCACCATGCAGTGTTGTCTGCAGTGTCAGGTGTATATAATCCTCCAGCTTAGACATCTTATACAGAATGTGAAGCCATTACTGGTGTCCCCACGCTGTGATCTTGCTGGAATATTGCTAAAAGCAGCGTGAAACCATACTCACTAACTCTCTCTGATGCAGAAGTCATATGTCAATATTGCCATCGTTTTGGTGTGTAGATTTCTATGTTGCTTATATTTGCTAGTAGGTTTTAGCACTTGCTTGTATCCCTAAAGTAATATTGGTTCTGGTGCTTCCACAGTTCAAGCTGTGGCCAGTGGATTGTCTGGTCCAAACAAGATTATTTACAGGCTGGAGTGTGGCGTTAAACATCAATCAATCAATCAATCAATCAATCAGCAGAGGCAGGCCATCAGGGTGATATCAGAGTCAGGGTGTGGTCCAATGGTTACAGTGTTCATGTGTGTGTGTGTGTGTGTGTGTGTGTGTGTGTGTGTGTTTTAGAAGTGCAGTTTGTGATATTAACTTGATGATATTGATATCCTAATCTTGATTTGTGTTTGGATACAAACTGTGCAATAATATCCGTTGTACAAAGTAACTAGGAGGAATTCTTGCCAGGTAGAAATCTGTGAAGATCTGGGTAGAGTTATTTTCAGTAACCCATGCTTGTCTTAAGAGGTGACTAACATATGGCTTATGGAACTCATTTGCTTGATTGATGCCTGTGATCGTATACCCACCAAGTAGACCGATGATCATGATGTTATTCACTGGAGTTTTTACAAACCGCCATCATGTAGCCGGTAAATTACTGAGTGCTGGGATTTTTTCCACTCCCTTCAATTTTGCACTTATCAGAGTTTAAATGTATAGGATCGCTCATACTGCTGACAGAACCGTTGTAACCAGAAACTAAACTCTTTCTTCATCTGTACGTGATGTATGTGAATTGATGGATTTAATAGATTCCTCTGTAGGGATTCCGGATAAGAAAACGTCTTCAGCAATGTATGCTTGCTGTACCAAGTTACTGAGTGCTGAGATTTTTTCCACTCCCTTCAATTTTGCACTTATCAGAGTTTAAATGTATAGGATCACTCATACTGCTGACAGAACCGTCATAACCAGCAACTAAACTCTTTCTCCATCTGTACGTGATGTATGTGAATTGATGGATTTAATAGATCCCTCTGTAGGGATTCCGGAATAGAAAACGTCTTTAGCAATGTATGCTTGCTGTACCAGGCACCAGAACTTGTGAATAAAGACTGTTTACAACCAGTTTAAGGCTTTCTCTTTGTTTGGTCTCTGCGTCTATCGAAAAGTAGCAATGTCATTTTCACTGATGGAAATAAAATTGCACTAAACTCATTACACCTTAAATTTTATCTACCAAATGTTTCAACTGACATTTGTATTCAAAGAAAGCACATCACAAATGTTCAAAACGCTTGAACTATTTTGGTATTGTTATGTATTCGTAGGTAACATAATACATTTGTTCTGAAGATCGCCCCTTTAGGTCCTCGTCGCGGCTGGTCACCTTATCAAGTTGAAGTGAGATTCTACCATGCCTTCAGTAAATACTGGATAGTGGTTAATCAAAGTCATTCAGAGGCATATAATCACGTTATATACCTCTGATTTTCCAATACAGTATGTATTATTTTTTTTATCTTAATAACACGGTTATGGTAGAATGGAGATAAATTATAATAGCTCTAAATTTTGTATTTAAAAACTCACGCTATACATACAGGGATTTCAATTCAAATTTAGAGCTATTATAATTTCGTTATAAACCTCGAATTTTCCAGCCCAGTATGTTTATCTCCTAAATGGACCTCTGCACAAGTTAACTTCCTTAATACTAATGTGATATGATGTGAATTTGTGATATGATGTGAATATCATTGTGATCGGGAAATGACAAATAGGCGAATTGGGATGTAGGCGAAATGAGAACATGCCATACAGGGTTTGTTTCAAAATCAGACAAGTGGTTAAGGCGTTCGCTCGTCACATCGAAGACCCTGGTTCGATTCCCTACATGAGTACAATGTGTGAAGCCCATTTCTGATGTCCTGCGCCGCGATGTTGCCGGAATATGGCTAAAAGCGGCGGAAAAACTAAACTCACTCACTCACTCACTCGGGCGTCCAGAGAGGCATTGGTCATTTGTGTGTTTGTTGGATCCTATATCCACGATCTGCTGCAAACAAACTGAAAAACTTACGGCGTTTGAGCACCCATATTCTGGCGTCTGCCCACCTGCATGGCACGTGAATGTACAGCACGTTGCAGACGTCGCACGATCGATACTGCTACTTCCGTAATGTTGAAATAAGTGTCTTTCAGCTTTTGGTTGATAAACAAACGAGTGCATGCGATTATGGGTAATCCGACACATCACTGCTCTCTCAGATCGACCGCCTCCGTGGCGTACTGGTTAGAGCGTCCGCCCGGAGAGTGGAAGGTCGCGGGTTCGATCCCCGACCGCGTCATACCAAAAGACGTTAAAATATGGTACTTGTTGGTCCCTGCCTGGCGCTCGGCATTAATGGGTACAACGAGGACTGGTCAGCTCGGAGTCAGTATAATGTGTCTGAGTGGGGTATTCATGCTTCACTGCGGCATGGTATCTCAGTGGGCTAGCACTTTAAAACCAGCGTAAGTCTGGGCTAGTACAAGCAGCCGCACATACACATACACATGCATGCACGTCGTCATATGAGCGAAATATTCTCAAGCACGACGTTAAAACCCAATTTCACCTCACCTCACCTCACCTCACCTCACCTCTCTCAGATGACACCCATGAAGTTCCGGGCCAGAATTGATCTTCAGTAACACATGCTTGCCGTAAGAGGCGACTAACGGGATTGGGTGGTCAGGCTCGCTGTCTCGGGTGACACATGTCATTGTATCCCGATTGCGTAGATTGATGTTCATGCTGTTGATGACTGGATTGTCTGGTCCAGACACGATGTTTTACAGACCGCCGCCATACAGCTGGAATATTGCTGAGTGCGGCGTAAAACTAACCTCACTCACCCTAAGGTGCTTATTGTGACTCACGGTGTTGTGTTGTTCGGGATCGTGAAGTCTTTGGGGACGTTCTTTCTATAAAAGGTACTACTTTCTATGCCAAACATTGGTTTATGTTAGTGTATTTAACATCTTTATTGTACAATATATATTAGTTTTGGGGCAGGGTATTCTTGCTCATGGGTATATGATTAGCCGCATTCTTCTAAACTGGGATCAGTCTGTTGCGTATTTATTGTGCTTGGAAGGAATGATCGAACATAAAATAGATTACAAAATGAATGAGTGTGTTCATTGCAATTCCTGCGATCTGATTAGGCAAGTTACCTGTTGACATTCATAAACAATGAATGCATGAACGAAAAGAGAACTGCACCTGAAAGTTGAGATTAGCAATGGTTCCAAATCAAATTCTGACAAGATGACAGTTGTAGTCCCTGAATATAATTCATCAAATGCTGTTTTTCAGACAAATATATATAACGAACATGACACCCAAATGGTGTCAGTCACTGACCAGTGATTGTTAAAATGCCAAATGCACTTTTCATTTAGACAATTCCACGAATTTTTCATATTTGATCCAAGCTTTCTTTCAAGGAGTGTGTCAAGGCTACTGTAGTAGTACACTTTAATGTGTGTACAAACGTGTGGAAGTACACGTTCATATATATCTGTCTCCGTGGTATATTTGCATTGTGTCTCTTTGTTCTTTTCAGCCGAGTGGTTAAAGCGCTCGCTTCAGACCCGAGTTTCGTTCTCTGCATGGATACTATGTGTGAAGCCCATTTCTGATGTGCCTCGTCATCAGGATTTGCTGGAATATCGCTAAAGGCGTAAAACCATACACACTCACTCAGTCATTTCTTAATGTCCCCAGTAACCTATTTGGGATGGAGAGGATGGAGAGAAGGACATTGTTTGCGTTCTTACAACATCCAAAGCCTCAGTCAAACTTTGAAAAACATTTATGGTAGACATGTGGAGGACAAACCACATAGTACAGCTGTATATACTGCTGAAACAAATAACTACTCTTGATGTAATCACTATTGTGCTATCTACTGAAAGGGAAGGTTTTTTTCCCTCAGTATATATACTAGGCACATAAAGAAACTGCATACAAACATTTAAAATCTAAATTTATCAAACCTGTGTAGACACATAAGGATTTAAACTCAGAGATTAGTGACATGTATCCAACATGCATGCACGTGCCACGTTCCGTGTCGTCAGTGGGTTCGTCCTTGAGACGTGCAATACGTTGTTGCACGTGCATTCCGGGAAAGAGAAACAGAGCAAATGAATGCAACAAAATACTGTCACTTTGGAAAGCTCAACCCCTGCCCTTGCGATAGTTCAACAAATTAAACGGCTATTGAAACGCATAGCATGCCAAGGCTCACGTCTGCACAACGTCATGAGACCATTGGGGTGGTCCGTGGGGGAATGTCTCAACGACAAGTGGCTGCACATTTCCACTCCCACCGAAACACCATTTCTGCACTGGTGAGACGCTACCAGAACACAAATGACGTCATCGATCGGCCACATTGTGGACGTCCACGTGTAACAACGCCAAGACAGGACAGATGGAGAAGGGTGACCCATCTTCGCCACAGGTTTCAGACTGCAGTGATGACTGCCCGAACCATCCCAGGACTTCGCCGTATACACCCCAACACAGTTCGACAACGACGTCCCGCCATACGGCCTATCCTGACACAACGTCCTCGACAAGCTCGCCGAATGTGGTGCCGAAATCATGTCCGCAGACCCTTGTTTTGGTGGAGAAATGTTGTTTTTACAGATGAGTCCAGGTTTAACATTTCCCATAGTGATGGACGTCAACGTGCCTATAGACGCGTGGGAGAACGTTATGCACAGGCCTGTGTCTTGGAGAGGTATCGCTTTGGTGGTGGTTCCGTGATGATTTGGGGTGGAATAACAGCACGCCAAAGAACTCCTTTGGTGATTGTTCAGGGCAACTTAACTGGTGTGGGCTACAGGGATCAGATTCTACGACCTGTGGCAATTCCTTTTCTGCAACGTCGTGGCCCTGGGTTAACATTCCAACAGGACAATGCCCGCCCTCATACGGCAAGTGTTACTATGGATTTCTTGCAACACCACAACGTTGACTTACTGCCTTGGCCTGGAAATTCACCGGATCTCTCCCCGATAGAGCATGTTTGGGACGAGATGGATCGATGTCTACGCCGTCTTCCTCATCCGCCAGATAACGTCCTTGACCTTGCAACAGAACTTGAGAGAATCTGGCGTGACATCCCACAAGCCTTCCTTGCACGTTTGATAGGCTCTATGCGTCGTCGATGCACTGCTGTTCTCAATGCCAATGGTGGGCATACCCGATATTGAGCTTGTGACATGGTCGTTTGACCCCTGTCCCGCTTGTGGACTCGTGACGTCATTGTGATTGACTTTTCAATTGAAATTCTCCCGACTTGTTATGGTCTCATGATCCCTCCATTAAAGTTTATATGTACCTTTGACATGGTTATCGTAATTATCAACTGGGTGAGTGAGTGGGTTTGGTTTTACGCCGCTTTTAGCAATATTCCAGCAACATCACGGCGGGGAACACCAGAAATGGGTTTAACACATTGTACCCATATGGGGAATCGAACCCGGGTCTTCGGCGTGACGAGCGAACGCCTTAATCACTAGGCTACCCCACCGCCCCACTTGCATGATGTGTTATAACTTTTATCTTGATAAATACTCACCATAGAAGTTGCACAAGGTAAATACGCGAGCTAGACCACCATGACGGAACGCATTTTGAGTTGTTCGTATGCAAATACACATAAAGAAAGTTAACTCAGTAGCACAATGGTGTCTGCTGTGAAAATACTGGAGAGGTAGGACACTCACGATGGCTTTAGTTCAGTCTGATTTTGACCCATCAGGCCTCGAAACTCTCATGATGTATTGGAGGATGTTTTTGGTAGGGTCCATGTTATCTGCAGCGGCGGTGGTAGATCCATCTCTCTTGAAATCCGTGCTACCCTGTTAAGCTATATAAGTCATGAACGACATAAAATATCAATAGTTGTGACACCATTTTATCGAATATCCCATACTTCTTTACAGGGTATGTCCACTAAACATATCACATAAGCAACGTGTTCTAAGGGACTTCAAATGTACATACATTGAATGTATGCAGGTCATGACGTAGTTTTGTGTAACAAGTTCCTGCTTAAAAAAGGG